TGTTAAGGGTTATAGGTTATGGGATAGAAGCCAAAAAGGGGTTAAGATCATCATAAGTAGGGATGTCATGTTTAACGAGAATGAGATGCCGTGTATTAAAGGGGAAACTGAACCTGAGAGTGAAGCTGAACCAGGTGAAGAGAAAGACCAGTTTAAGGTAAAGTTAGGAAAACTCAGCCCACTTGCCCCTACTGCTTCAAATGAGGTGGAGACTCAAGCTCAGGAACCCGAGGTGGAGAATAGTAACGAAATAGTGACAGAAGAGCACTATGAGGAAGAAAATCCTTTAGCTAACTATAAGTTAGTTAGGGATAGAGAGAGGAGACAAACGAGAGAACCTAGAAGGTTCGGTTTTGAATCTGAATTAGCTTTCGCTCAAGCAAGTTATGAAGAACTAGCTGATAAAGAGTTAATGACCTTTGAAGAGGTAATAGGCAGTGATCAATCTAATAAATGACTTAAGGCAATAAAAGAAGAGATGAGTTTTCTATAAAAGAATTATACTTGGGAGCTAGTACCTAGGCCTAACAACAAATCAATTGTTGATTGCAAATGGGTCTTTAAGGTTAAGGAAGGTATTAGCAGCTCGAAACCCCTAAAGTTTAAAGCTAGGTTAGTAGCTAAAGGCTATACACAGAAGGAGGGCGTTGATTATAATGAAATTTTCTCACCAGTTGTTAAGTACACCACTATTAGGGTTATGCTCGCATTGGTTGCACACTTTGACTGAGAACTTGAACAACTTGACGTAAAAACTGCTTTTTTACACGGTGAGCTTGATGAACAAATTTTCATGAATCAACCAAAAGGTTTTAAGGATAAGTCAAAACTTGATTATGTGTGTTTTCTGAGAAGATCCTTGTATGAGTTAAAACAATCTCCTAGACAGTGGTACAAGAGGTTTGATTCCTTTGTACTTACTATAGGGTTCCAAAGAAGTAAATTTGATCACTACTTGTATTTTCAACACAATGAGACTGATGATAATTATCTGTTTTTGTTTCTCTATGTGGACGACATGCTTTTGACTGAATCATCCTCTAAGTGGATAAATAACATAAAAGCAAAACTAAGTGGTGAATTTGACATGAAAGAACTAGGTAAGGCTAAGAGAATCTTAGTGATTGAAATCGAAAGAGATAAGTCAAATTCTATTTTGTTTTTACATCAGTCTCCATACATATCCAAAGTATTGAAGAAATTTAATATGGGTGATTGCAAACCTGTCACGTTGCCTCTTGCTAATCATTTTGTTTTATCGAAGGAACAATCCCCTTGCAATAAGCGTGAAGTAGAATACATGAGTAGAGTGTCTTACTCTAATGTGATTGGTTTTATAATGTATTTAATGGTTTGCACTAGACCGGATTTAGGTTTTGCTGTTAGTACTCTCAGTAGATACATGGCTAATCCAGACCCTGAACATTGGGAAGCGCTAAAGTGGCTGTTAAAGTACTTGAAGGGTACAAGTGATGTAGGTTTAAAGTTTAGTGCTAATAAAGAAGGTATAAAATTAAAAGGTTTTGTAGATGCTGACTACGCGGGAGATAGGGATAATAGGAAATCCACTTCGTCTTACGTGTTTACCTTATCTAATTCATGTGTTAGTTGGAAATCATAGTTACAACATATTGTTGCATTATCTACTACAGAATCAGAATATATTGCTACCACTGAATCTATTAAAGAAGCTCTATGGCTTAGAAGCCTTCTTCATGAACTATGTGTCTTGAATGATTATGTAGTAGTGTATTCTAATAATCAGTCATCTATACATTTATGCAAGAACCCCGTTTTTCACGAGCGCACTAAACACATTGATGTTAGACTCCACTTCATTAGAGATATAGTATCTTAAGAGGTGGTAAGACTTGAAAAAGCCCATACCCACTACAACCCCTCTGATATGGGGACGAAGGTACTGCCACTTGCAAAGTTTAGAAGTTGCAAGGAACTTCTAAACATTGGTACAGGTAAATGATTTCCAATTTTATCGGTTTTCTATTAGATGTGTCACTAATGGGAGACATTTTTCTTTTGCAGGTCCTTTGACACCAAGGTGGAGGTTGTTAAGCAATTTGTTGTCAAACGACCCCTCGGGCTATGATGTAACCCCGGTTCTACTATCAATCGGCCTTGGCCATATGATTGATTTGTATGTCGACAAAATTATCGAGACAACCCAATTCACATTCTTATGGACTGTTAGAAGCAACCTATTGTTAATAGTGTTGCTCACGGTTCGTCCCATTTCCTTGGAGGGTTATGGTATTAATTTGAAGCCTATTATTTTTTAGTCGAGCCTTTATTGGTCCACTAAATAAACCTAACCTAACTTACCTTGTTTGGTCACTTGCTTGGCTTATATTCTTGGCCTTCCTCTCGGCCTCCAAATGAAGAACGCCCAATCTCTCTCTGTGACTTCTCCTCTTTCATACGACCTTTGTGGTTCTTTTCTAGTGGGCATACTATTGTTCTTCATCTTGTCCAACTAGTAGCAACCGGAAGTGGGAACTTGGTGGTGGTGTTTTGGAGTTGTCTCAACCCGTTGGTGGTGTCGACTTATTTGGTGAAACTAAGCCCTGTTTACCTTAGTGTTTGCTGGAACTTGGCCCTACAATATGTTTCTTAAAGCGTAAAAATTCAAAAGGCGTTTGGTTTGGAATTCATTTTCTCTTCTCCAGAAAACAAAATTCCTAGCATCCCCACCATCTTCTACCTCACAAATCGACTACCACCCACGACCTAGACCACCAAATCCCAGCATCACTCGAACCCCCTCACCACCCTCTACAATGCAATCTATGATACTCAGCATTGCACCTAATTCTACATGTATTATGAGTCAACAACAATGATAATGGGAAATCATTAAACATAACCTAAAAAGAACCAGAATATATATGGCAAAACTTACTAAAATTTGACAAATAAGAGCTGTAATTTCTGCAATTGAATGAGTACCTAATGTCGTTTGATGATGAATTTCAGTTTCCCCAGGTTGATTTGTAGATTGGAGCATATTTGAGCCTTCAATTGAAATGAGGTTGAGCGGCATTTCCTGTTTGCAGGTTCACTCCATGGTCGATTCGAGCTAAATTGACGAAGACCCTTATATGTATATTGTCCGCCATAATGAGTAGGAGGTAATGGTGGTGGTGCATGACCGTGATTCTCAATGCTAGTGTCGAAATTTGGGCAACACTGTGCGTGGTTCGCTGCATTCGAACAGGCAAAATCTTTCCCATTTTCTTCAGATGTTGGTATGGAGTTGAAGAATGGGATGAGGGCATGTTGATGGTGTGGAAATCCGGTCGTACGGTGGTCAGATTTGTGAGCAGAAGGTGCCGGCTTGAGGTGGAGTAGATGCAGTGGAAGCGTAGAACTGGGTTTCGGTCATTTTGCAAAATGGCGTTTTCCATCTTTTCAGTTTTAGCGTCTTTTGGCTTGAAAACGGGGAAAATGACTTTTTTCCGTTTTCCTCACGATTTTTTTTTCTTCGTTTTTGTTTTCGAAAACTCATTTTTGAAAATGGGAAACCAAATGCATTTTTATCGTTTTGAAAAATAGAAAACGGAAAATGGCCCAAAAATGACGAACCAACCAGCCCCTAAAGTTTTACAATTGAAGGATAGTCATTAATTATTATTTACTTTCAAATAAATGCTTGGTATTTATCCATTGGACGATGTTTTACAGATTAAAATCTTGTTATTTTTTATATGCGAATTTTGTAACTTATGATTATGGTGTAATTATATTGTACGGAACATGCTAAAAATTTTAAATCAAAAAACTTTAGAAAATGGAAATTTCATCTTAGGGCATTCAACTTGCATGTTTGTATCAATTTGATGACTATTATTTATTTATTCTTTTTTTTTTTTTTGGTGGCCAGACTAACATAATAAGTCCATTATCACCATATAGATTTCATTTTTCTCCATGAAAACTAACTCTTTAAAATTCAAAAAAATTAAAAATTAAAAATAAAAAAAGGATGTCAAAATATGTTTGATTACAGATCATGTCGTCTTGGCTTAGAATTTCAACAATTTTGGTAATGGTTCAAATTTGGTAGTAGTTGTAGACAATTTAGATATTGGTTCAACCGTTCGAGACATTTATTGTGGACTTATAAAATCATGGGTTAATAATAATGAACCTAATTTACTTTATATGATTATTTCAATAGGTTGGTTATAGTTTGTATTGCTAAATTTGTAATTTTTTTTTTTGAAAAATAAAAACTGTAAAATTTATAAGTTAATAAAATTAATTTTTAAATAAAAAAATTTAAAAAAAGGTTCGGTTCAATTTTGTGCGATTTTTGAAAGCGAAATCTAAAAGACTAGTTCCTATAGAGATTCCCCTTGGTCTAATTCCACGCCTTATGACGAAAGTGGAGTCGGCGACGAAATCTAAACAAAACTATTTTGATTTGAGGGGGAAAAAATTCGCGTGGACCCAGACCAACTATTTCGATTTGATTCGTAGTTTTACGGTTATTTTGTGCAATCCTAGTTTTAATTGAGTTAGATAAAATTTAAATTAATTTTTTTAAATTTTTTTTTTTGGGTAAACCATTTTGTTGTTTAAGATAGTTTGCAAAGATTAAAACATAAATCAAACTTTATAAACGATTTGGTTCGGTTTAAAATCAAAATATTGAAAGAACCACGTGGATTCTAATCAATGATTTCAGAAATGAATTTCAATTTATTTTCGCTATTTGATAGTTTCGCCTTAAATTGCTAGTGGGCAAGGTTGGCTATGTTGAATTTTTTTGGACTTATTTATTTTAAAAAAAAAAAGGTGTTTTAATTAGTTGGGCTTTTTGTGCGATTGAACTTAAAAATAATAAAAAAAGACTACCTACCAAACTTGCTTTTTTCGCGTAGGTGCGACTTAAGCTATCAGATGAGATTTTTCACGAGTCAAGATTGACCTTTTAGAACGCGGGTTATACACAAATGTAAAATCTAAATTGGATAAATTGAAAGGAATTAAATTGTGGTGAACAAAGGTACTCTGTGGAGAAATTTCCCCACAAAAAACTCCATGTATATCACACTCGGTTTCCTAGTCATTAACTTCTCTACTCCATTTCCTAGAAATGTGTCACCAAGTCTTCCATTTTCTGCCGTTTCATTTCTGCCAAATTCTTGGTTGTAGTAATACTACTCCTCGTTCTTGGTGCTGTAATTGATCCTTTACAGTAATTAATTATTATATACAGATCGGAGCAAAATGGGCGGACTAAGCAAGTTAAGCAGAGTACTAACGATCATCTTCTTAATTTCAGTCGTGACGCTTTTCGCTGAACTCTTCTACGTTCTGTGGCGCCGCCGTGTCTTCCGCAGACGAAACCCACAAGCCAGCACTGCGGTTGACGGTGGTGGAGATCAGCCATCTCATTATTCTTCTTCCGATTCTTCATTTCTGTCCATAGCCTCCTCCAAGGAGTTCCTTTATGCCTTCTGCATAAGATCTCACTCCCACTCTCGTGTGGAACCCAACTCCACAACTCCAACTAGTTCGAACGGGGAATCGCAGATGGAAGAAATCGATAGCGACATCGTGAAGCTTCAATTAATGCATGGACCGTCAAGATTCTTGTTCACCATCAAAGAAGAGGAAAGAGAAGAATTGGAAGCAGTCGCTGAGAATAATAATAACAAAGAAAAGGTGAGCTTGCAGGAGTGTTTTACGGTGGCTGAAGAGTCGCCGGAAATTAGGGTAGAGATTGACGATCACGGTGGATGCGATGCGACGCCGTTTACAACACCCTGTGCTTCGCCTTTGTATTTCACTCCGTCGTGTTCTCCGGTACACGAGATCGATTCACCCCTATGAAATACAGAACGGCGTCACGTTTGAGTTAAAGGTGTAGACTGATAATCGCCAGCCGGTGATATCCCGATACAAAGGTCGTCTGAACTGAACGGCCTGGTGTTAATTAATAATTTCTCGTTAATTTTGTCCTTTTAGTTACTTTTCCTTTTTGTGTTTATATGCTGCAAGGTTAATACTTTGTTTAACTATCTTAATTAATATCAATCAATTTTGAACAATTTTGTCTAGAATTTAAATTTATAAAATAAGATTAAATCAGCTGTAGTAACAATCTTAATATGTGTGCCATTTATCTTCAAATCCATTGATCGATGCAAGCCTTTTTTCGATATATACGAGGAGAAAAAAAAATTTAAATGGATAATAGAGTGTCAAAACGCTTTCAAAGAACTCAAAGCAACAAGCTCAACCACCAGTTTACTATATCAGAGCCCTATAAATTGTTGAGACACATTATTCTCCCCTAGAAAAATTGGCATACGCAATTATCATGGCATCCAAGAAACTAAGGCCATACTTTCTAGAGCATCCTATCGAAGTCTTGGCTAACTATCCTTTAAGACTAGTTTTGCAAAAGCCCGACACCTTAGGACGGATTGTTAGGTGGACTGTTGAGTTAGGCCAGTTCGACATACAATATAGGCCCGCAGGATAATAAAAGGCCAAATGTTGACTAATTTTGTAGCAGAGTTCAGCGCTAATCAAGATGATCGACCAAATGATATCCCAAGGGAGTTTTTTGTTGATGGTTCCTCCATCAACGTTTGACCTAGTGCAGAAATAGTGTTGATTAGCACCATTCCTATCAAGCTCTCATTTTTGACTTTAAAACATCCAACTTAAAGTAACTGATAGTCTGAGTGAAGATGGCAAAAGAATTGAAAACTCCCAACGTGGTGATCCATAGTAACTCTCAGCTCATAATCAATCAAACTTACCAAGCAAAGGAAGAGTGGATGAATAACTACCTTCAAGTTGTTAAGAAGAAATTCGAAGGTTTCAAAACCATTCATGTTAAGCAAATCCCAATAACTCACAATAGCCATGCTGACGCCCTAGCTAGGTTGGCCACGAGTGATGGAATAGAAGAGGTCGATAGCATTCCAATTGGAAGGCTTCAACGTTTCGCCATTAAGAAAGGGAGTGCGATCTTAATGGTTGAAGACTTGAAGCCCACCTAGTTAGATGAAATTGCCTCATATCTCAAAATGGGAACTCGCCAAGATGATTCTATCGAAGCTAGAAAACTATGAATTAGGTCGGCCAAGTATACTTTATTGAACGATGTGATTTACAAGAGAGGGTATGTTATTCCCTTGCTACGATATCTAAACAAAGAAGAAGCGTGGTATGCCTAGTAGGAAAATCACTAGCCCATAAGATTTTAAGGCAGGGATACTTTTTGCCGACCTTTAAGCGAGATGCCTAGAGTTTGTGCAGAAATGTGACAAATGTTAACGTTTAGCTCTAGTTTCTAAGGCACTGCCAAAGGTGCTGAATACTATTGTAAGTACATGGCCATTTTCTAAGTAGGGGTTGAGCTAATAGGACTCATGCCAATAGGGAGAGCAAAACCAAGTTTGCTATTGTAAGAGGAGATTACTTCACTGAGTGGGTTGAGGATGAACCTCACGCCAAGATCATAGAATAAAAAGCAATAGGCTTCATATGGAAATCCATTATATGCAGAATTGGGAAACCTTACTCTATCATGACCGATAATGGAAAAAAATTTAATGATGCTCATTTAGTAAGCTTTTGCGAAGAGTTTAGAATAAAGAAATAGTTTTATACTCCTAACCACCCACAGGCAAATGGCCAAGTAGAGGTAATCAACAAGATCATGCTTATACGCTCAAGGCAAAGCTCGACAACCTTAAGGGAGTATGTGCTGAAGAGCTTTCCAGTGTATTTTGGTCCTACCGCACCACCTCGAGGAGTAGTATGGGAGAAACCCCATTTTCTTTGGCTTTCAGTGTAGAAGTTGTGACTCCATTGGAAATAAACATCTATTTATTTGAAACTAAGACATACAAGGAGGAAGAGAATGAACAGAGCCTTCGTGCTAAGTTAGATCTACTTGAAGAAAAAAGAAATGGGGCGAAACTCATAAATGCCATTTACAAGTAGCACAGCACTAGATATTATAATAAAAAATTGCACAAACTGGAATCTGAGTTCGGATTTCTCGTGCTAAGAAAGGTATTTCTTGCCACTGAAGAACCCAACTCTAGATCTTTTAGCCTAAAGCGGGAATGCCCCTACAAGGTCACCCAAATCTTATCAAGTGGAGCTTACAAGTTAGAGGATATAGAAGTTACTACATCCTTGAAATGTTGAACATCTCAAGAAATATTATCAATAGAATAGGAGATGTACTTTTTGAATGCAATCATGTAACTTTGATTCGAGTAACACAATAAACCTTATCTCAATATGAGTCCTCATTAGATTCAAAGGACATGCTCTTAAGCTATCCGACCTAAGGTTGCATGTCCTGCAGCACTTATACAAAATTTTCCTCTGAAAAGGGAGATTCAAAGGACTTGCTCTTAGGCAGTCTAACCTAAGGTTGCATGTGTTGGAGGAAACCTATGTCAAATTCAGATTGCATCCGCTGGATGTGCTTGATTACTTTTACTAAGCTAATAACATAAGTATCTGGAGCTAGGGCATCAACCTCAAGTGATTCACTCCATAGCTCAACTGCTTTACCTTTCGAGAGTCAAGATCCTCAATGCCGAGTTTATCTCCTTCAGAACGGGCCCTCTCTTCTTTAGCTCTTTTCTTCTCAGTGGTAACCCTCTCATTGGCCTTCTTTCTACAAATTCTCAAGGCTTTCACCTCGTCCTAAAGTTTGAGCTCGAACGCCAATTTAGCTCCAAGTTTCACACCCATCTTATTTAGCAGATCCTCCTATTCTTTCTCCCTTCCTCCTCAAATTTCAGCTTCCATGTTTTTGAAAAGCTCTGCATTCTGGTTCCTTATATCAATTACCTTATCCATCTTAACCCTTATCTATGAGGGAAAGTCATTTAAGTAAGATACACACACACACACACACACACACACACACACAAATTATTATTGCCATCCCTACCTCTCTCTCGAGTGCCAAGTAAAAGTTAATCGTAGAAATTAATTCCAATATCTCTATTTGGAATTAAAATCGAGATTTATCAAGATCGTAGTTTTTAGATGGAACAAGCTTAATAGATTCTATATTTTGTCTCGAAATCCATAAAATCTAGGTTGTGTTATTGTTGTAATCGTGCCTAATTCTCCTCTCTTGAGTGTCGAAATTGAGTAGCATCTAATCATTCAATGTGACCAATTAATTGAAGGCAATAAATAAACAACACAAATAAATGAAATTGGAAAAATTAATAAAAATAACTAAATCAAATCATATGCTCAATTTTTGGCTAATCAACCCTATTAGAATTATCTAGTTCATGATATTGGACTAGAAACCTATACAATTTATATAGAATAACATGAAGAGAAGAAAGATAAAATTGTTATTTGGATGGTTGAATCAATCTTCTTTGCCAAGTTGCCTTTGCATTCTTCTTGATTTTTTAAATTTTGCCCTTTTCAATTCTCTTTGAAAGTGGTCTTTAGGTTTATATTTATAGTATCTGTTCGCTAAAATCCTACACCGCAAGTGCACGGGTCGCGTTCAAGTAATAAAGTGGACCTTTTGAGTCTAAGTATCGTCCCACAGAGATTGTATTAGTTTAAATTTAAATTATCTTCTCCTTAACCGAAATAATAGAAATTCGTGATTTTTCACTAACTATTTCATGATTTAATAACTTGCTTATAGATATAAAGCTTAAATTAACTAGCGTGATTATAATTAAATGCAAGTTTTATAAAAATATGATAACGAAATGCGTACTAGGATCCCGAATCCCCTTATATCAATCATCTTTAATCCGAATTTTATAAAATTGACAACACGATTCAATTATGAAGACCAATATTTCTAATTTGTTTAAAAATCTCTCTCGAGTATTGTTAAATCTATTTTTACATGTGACCCGACTATATTTCTATGACGAATACGAACATATAAAAATGTATTAAAGATTTATGAATACTTAAAGATCACGTAAAGTATAGCGGTATATTTCTATTCTCTATGGGACTTTATGACAATTAACATAATGTCTAACTTATTTTCCATATCTCGAGGGTAAAACAAGTCACAAATCTCATACAACTATTGCGCTCATAATTGTAGAGAAAATAAAATTCATGCCAATCATTCAATAATTAAAAACATGTTTTAACGTCAAATGAATAAAATTCAAGATTAAGGGTTCATAATATAAGGTTTATCGCAAATCCTAGTACAAAATAATTTAGCCTAACATAATGTGAAAATTAAACAAAGAAAAGTGGAAGAATATCACCAAAAATTGATCAAACGTGATTAATTCTCGCAATTTTATTTGGCTGCCGTCTTTTTCCTCTTCAATTTATGATTTCCGCCTCTGCTCGCCTCGAGTCATGGGTATATATAAATCCATGTAGCCACAAGTTAATTCCCACCGTCTGTCCAATTTTATTGCCAATTGAAGAGTCCAATTCCAGCAGCCACTTACATGAAATGCATTGTCATCTATGTAGACAAGATTTGGTGAATAATTTTGACCATCCAATGACAATTAGTTGCCCAATTCTGTGGGTATTTTCTCTAAAAAAATCAGCTTTTGCAATCCACCAGCATACCCTAGCAGCTGCCGACTTTTCCTCACTGAAGCACTTAATTTTCGGCTCCCCCTTGTCCGACTTCTCTCCCCAATCTGTAGGTTTATGTTTGTGCGTGTGTGTGTGTCTATATATATATATATATATATATATATATATATATATATTACAGTTTTCCTCCAACAGCAGGTAGCCCTTTTTCTCTTCTTTAATAAGAGCCCAATTGGTTGATTTTTATTCCAAATATAAGTCCAAAAGTAGGCCCATGTGGTGTTTTCTTCAAAGTCCTCAATTCTTCCATGTAATGCAAATCAGTCCTTTTCTTCATTTTCTCCTCAATTTTGATCCTCCATCTTTTATTCCGCGAGATTTTGTCCACAAACTCAATTTAATAGCCAATTGATTATTTTCTTTTCCAATTGCTTCAAAACGGGTTCATAACTAAAAACAAAAGAAAATTAACACAAGTTAGGTAAAAAATTAATAATTTGACAACATAAAAGCCTAGTTATGTAGTCCGAATAAGTGCACAAAATGCACTTATCAAACACTCCCAAACTAAAACATTTGTTCGTCCTCGAACAAAATAAAACTTACATATGACACATATTTAACCTAACAAATAACAAATAAAAAAACTCAACCTTGAATTACTCACCATATGCCTCAGGTTTGAATTTAAGCAATATTTTAGAAAGATCCAAACAACATCAAAAATAAAATAAAAAATTTGCTTATTCGATGCTCGATTTAGTGTGTGTGTGTGTGTGTGTGTGAGATTAGCCAACATTGAAATAACACCTATATTAGACTACAACCAATCTAGGTGCTGTTGATTTATTCATGGTCCCAACCCTCTTGTGATCACTTTTTCCTCACACCTCTCATGTAACAATCACTTCTTATACTTTTCTCTCCAATCCTGAGGTATTTCTAGTACAAAAGGGGTTCCTCAAAATCATTATGATGCATTTTTCCGCACAAGTGTTCAGAATAAGATACTTGAACAACTAGAAAGAAAGATAGTAAGTCTTTTTCATGACCACACCGCCAGTCTCTAGAGTTCAAATCTCAAAGTCATCACTAGGCACATCTCACTTTTGATAATTTATATCTCATTTTTTTTTTGACATCTCCTGTGCAAGACTTCTTTCCATTAAACTTTCTAAATGACCCTTGTAGCGAGCTTTAAGCCGATGACTCCCAAGTCAGACGACTATAGGGCATCAAGGTTTTAGATACCATTGCAGGCTTAATAATCCGAGTAAAAAAGGCTACGAAAAGAAGTAGAAGATGTGTCATTTTTTCTTTTGATATGAGAATCTAACTGTTCATTCATTTTTTTTCTTTTTTCTCTTTTTTTTTTGTGCAAAAATTCTTTCCATTAAGCTTTTTAGATGACCCCTGTAGCGAGTTTTAGGTCGATGACTCCCGAGTCAAATGACTTTAGGGCACTAGATTTTAAAGACCCTTACAGGCTTAATCACTCGGGGTCATAAAGACTACGAAAAGAAGTAAAAAAAAAATGTATGATATATTGATTTTTATTTATTTATTTATCTTTTAAGATGATCAGTGCCTGTTTTAGACTCTTTAGCTCAAACCCTTTCAATTAACACCGGGATTCGACAATTCCAAACCATCACATTTCTATGAAGACAAGCACAAACCTTCCCACCTCCAAACTGCTTTTTTGGCAGTTTGGTTTCTATATAAATTATTTGAGAATTTTATTCAAACCTAGGTCAACAACATCAACAATTTCACAAAAATTACATTGTGTTCCAACATAAGCGATAAATCAATATGGCTATGTACTCAAATAATCAAATCTAACATGGATAAGTTTTAAAGTAAAAGTACAAGTTATGATGTTATCCAGCATCTAACTAAATATTTACTCAATTCAAACAAATAATATCTTCATAGGCGGCAAGTCGTCAACGCACTAGACACTTTTTTTTCCTTTTTTTCTTTTTTTTTTCTTTTTTTTTTTACAGACTCAATTAGCAATTGAAAAGTATGTATTCTAAGTATCCTAATATTCACCCACCCCAAACTAAAGTACTACTTTGTCCCCAATGTAGAAGCAAAAATAAACAAAGTAAAGGGGTAAAGATTAAAAACTCCCCGGGGTAGATGCGGATGTGATGAACGATCAGGCTATTCCAATTGGTAGACATCACGACAGCTATAACTTTTCTTTGTTGTGAGGCTTAAATTCTCTTAAAAATGCATATCACATCAATGTAAGCTTAATAGAATGCTAAGATGTTAATGATGAACCTAGGCAACCATGTCAAAATAAAATGAACTTAATAATTAGATATGCCTAAGTTATTAATGCAGGTCTGAAAGTACTACTTAAAATGTGTCCAAAACTACCCATTTAAATGCACGAGTTCCTAAATTAATGCAGTCTCTAAAACTATATGTAATGCAATAGTTAATTAAAATAGCAAAAAGAGATAGAAGAATGGGTTGCCTCCCATTAAACGCTCGATTTATAGTCTAGAGCTCGACTTTTTGTTCATTCATTCTAGTGTTACGAGTTGAAAGGTTGATTTTTCTTTCGAAAATTCACCATTCCAATATGGCTTCAACCGTTGTCCATTAACCTTAAAGGTTCCTTTATTTTCATGAGTTATTTCAACTGTCCCATAAGGAAACACTTTGACTATGGTGTATGGCCCTGACAACCTAGATCTCAATTTACCAGGAAAAAGTTTGACTCTAAAATTGTATAGCAAAACTTGTTGCCCAACCTCAAACTTCCTTCTTTGAATGTGCATGTCATGCCACTTTTTTGTGTGCTCCTTGTAGGGTTTTGCGTTCTTATAGGCTTCCAATCGAAACTCACCCATCTCATTCAACTGAAGTAATCTCTTTTCACCGGCGGCCTTTAAATTAAAATTCAAGTTCTTGACTGCCCAATAAGCTCGATGCTCCAATTCAACTGGCAAATGACACGCTTTTCCAAAAATCAAACGATAAGGAGACATGCCTATAGGTGTTTTCAAAGCCGTTCTATAAGCCCACAAAGCATCATCAAGTTTCTTAGACCAATCTTTTCTTGAAGAACTCACTGTTACCTCCAGTATCCGCTTTAATTCTCGATTGGAGATTTCAACTTGACCGATGATCTGAGGGTGATAATGGGTAGCTATACGATGTCGGACGCTATATTTAGCCAACAAAGACTCAAATTGACGATTGCAAAAGTGTTTGCCCCCATCACTTATGATAGCTCGAGGTATGCCATAACGGGTGAAAATATACTTCTTTAGGAACCCAATTACAACCTTCGCATCATTGGTTGGCAATGCTACTGCTTCCACCCATTTGGAAACATAATCGACGGCGACAAGTATATACTGATTCGAGAATGATGAGGGAAATGACCCCATAAAGTCGATCCCCCACACATCAAAAAGCTCTACCTCCAGAATGCTATTCAGAGGTATCTTGTTTTTTCCTGAGATATTTTTCGTGCGCTGACATCTATCACACCTCTTCACAAATTCAAATGTATCTCGGAATATCGACGGCCAGTAGAAACCAGACTGTAGAATTTTAGCAGTAGTCTTTGATGCGCTAAAGTGTCCAGCATAGGCAGATAAATGACACTGCTTGAGTATCTGAGGGATCTCTTCTTTAGGAATACACCGCCTAATAATTTGATCTGGACCCCACCTGTAAAAAATAGGGTCCTCCCAAAAATAATATTTCAAATCAAAAGAATTTTTTTCTTTTGATGACTTGAATAGTCTGGTGGAATAATAGATTTGGCTAGATAATTCACTATATCAGCATACCAAGGTACATCCTCTACATTGAAAATCTGTTCATCTGAAAAGATCTCATTTATGTCCACTGACTTTTCCTATTCTCCATGCTCAAGTCAGGATAGGTGATCAGCTACTAAGTTTTCACTTCCCTTCTTGTCTTTTATCTCTAAATCAAATTCTTGCAGAAGTAATACCCATCTGGTTAGTCTTGGCTTTGCATCTTTCATTGTCATCAGATACTTTAACGTTGCATGATCTGTATAAACTATTACTTTTGATCCAACAAGATAAGATCGAAATTTATCAAAGGCGTAGACTACAGCTAAAAGTTCCTTCTTAGTGGTGGCATAGTTCAACTGTGCATCATTCAATGTCTTGCTTGCATAATAGATCACATGAAAAACTTTATCTCGTAGCTTTCCCAATACTGCTCCCACCGCGTAGTCACTTGCATCACACATTAGTTCAAAGGGCAAACTCCAATCTAGTGCAACAATTACTAGCGCTGAAATTAACTTCTCCTTTAAAGTGTTGAAAGACAATAGACATTCTTCAGAGAAGTTGAAAGGGACATCCTTGACTTGCAGATTGCATAATGGTTTAGTGATCTTAGAGAAGTCTTTGATGAAGTGCCGATAAAATCCATCATGGCCAAGGAAACTGTGAACACCCTTGACTGAGGTTGGTGGTGGTAATTTCTCAATAACTTGAATCTTCACCTTGTCCACTTCTATCCCTTTAGCTGAAATTCGATATCCCAACACGATGCACTCTTGTTCCATAAAGTGACACGTTTCCCAGTTTAGTACCAAATTTATTTCCTTACACCATTGCAAGACCAAGTTTAAGTGTTCAAGACATTCATCAAATGAAGAACCAAAAACTGAGAAATCATCCATAAAGACCTCTATGAATCTTTCCACCATATCAGAGAAGATGGCCATCATGCAATGCTGAAATGTGACGGGAGCATTACATAGACCAAATGGCATCCTACGATAAGCAAAGGTGCCGTAAGGACAAGTAAAAGTAGTCTTCTCTTTATCCTTGGGTGCTATCAGAATCTGATTATAACTAGAGTATCCATCAATAAAACAATAATAGGAGTGACCTGCTAACCTTTCCAACATCTGATCCATAAATGGGAGGGAAAAGTGGTCCTTTCGAGTAGCAGTGTTGAGTTTGCGATAATCAATGCATACCCTCCATCCTGTAACAGTTCTAGTGGGAATCAATTCATTCTTCTCATTTTTCACTACTGTAATACCTCCCTTTTTCGGCACAACTTGAACAGGACTAATCCATGCACTGTCTGAGATAGGATAGATGATCCCTGCATCCAAAAGCTTCAAAACTTCTGCTCTGACTACCTCTTTCATATTTGGATTGAGACTCCTTTTGCTGTCTATACTTGGTCTAAAATTATCCTCTATGAAAATTTTATGCATGCAGATTGTAGGGCTGATCCCTCTTATGTCGACAATAGACCATCCAATAGCTGTTTTATTTTCTCTGAGTACTCTTAGCAACCTCTCTTCTTCAAGCTTACTAATGGAGTTTGAAATAATAACAAGCAATGTGGAAGATTTTTCCAGGTAGGCATAACGAAGGTGAGATGGCAACTGCTTGAGCTCTAACTCAGGGGGCCTCTAAATTGATGGCAAAGGCTTTGTAGGACCAGTGCCTAATTCCTCAAAGTGTGGTCTGCGCCTATATGGAGGATTAGCTTCAAGATTTCTTGCACATATTTCAATCTGATTAGAATCAGATTGAGTAGATTGAGAGTGTATAATACATGCCTCATATGGATCTGGTGGATTATGCAACTGGAGCGTATCATTTACTGTATTATCAATCACATCGATCTGGAAGCAACTGTCTGACTCTGCTGGATATCTTATGGCCTTGAACACATTAAATGTGACATGCTCTTCACCAAGTCTCAAAATCAATTGACCTTTTTGAAAATCAATAAGGGCTCTACCGGTAGCTAAAAATGGCCGACCCAAAATAAGTGGAATATCCCTATCCTCCTCCATGTCAAGAATGAGAAAATCAGCTAGGAAGATGAATTTGTCCACTTTCACCAAAATATCCTCAATAATTCCTCTTGGGTGCGTGATAGACCGATCAGCTAGCTGTAAAGTCATTGTAGTTGCTTTAGCCTCCCTCAAGCCCAGTTTCCTAAAAATAGATAATGGCATCAAATTAATGCTTACACCTAGATCACATAAAACTTTATCAAAATAATAATCGTCTATAGTGCAAGGTATAGTAAAACTCCCTGGATCTTTTAATTTGGGAGGTAGCTTCTTTTGTATTCTGGCGCTACATTTCTCTGTCAACATTATAGTCTCATGTTCTTCTAACTTGCGTTTGTTAGATAAAATATCTTTCAAGAATTTGACGTAACTAGGCATCTGAACGAGAGCATCCGCGAAAGGGATGTTGATGTGAAGCTTTTTGAAGACCTCAAGGAATTTGTATAGTGATTGTCTAACTTGTGTTTTTGCATTTGAGGAAATGGAATTGGCGGCTCGTATGGTTTAATAGGAGCAGTTGCCTTAACTTGTGGTGTATTTGAACTCTTTTTGATAGATGTATCTGTTGTTTGTTTAGTCTGTTCTGCATGCTCTTCATCAGTAGAGGGTACTTTTTCCTTATTTGCAGTTGGCCTCTTAACATGGAACTCAGGTAATTGGACCCCACTTCTAGTCGTAATTGCTTTGACGTGTTCTTTGGGATTAACCTCTGTATTGCTTGGCAATGTACCTGGTGCTCTACCTGATATAGCTTATGACATCTGTCCCATCTGAGTCTCCAAGTTTTTAATTGCAGCACTTTGATTCTGGAGAGTTGTCTTAGTCTTTGTCATAAATTGATTATTCACATCCATGTACTGATGTCTTTTTCATGATTTTACCAAACATCTCTTACAAAGAAGTTCTCATCTCTGCTTGCTAAAACTGAGAACCATGTGGTGCAGTGGGATTCTGATTGCTCCAGGAAAAATTCGGGTGCTTCCTCCAACTAGGGTTGTAGGTGTCAGAATATGGATTATTTTGTTGGCGCTGACCCCCTTGTATGAAGTCAACGTGTTCCGTACCTTGTATAAGAATTGGACAATTTACTGTACTGTGATCTGCCCCACATTCTTCACAACTTGCTCTTTTAGTCTGTACTGCATTGGCTGACTGTGACATGCTTTCTACCTTATGAACCAAAGAGTCAATTTTTGCAGACAATGCTGTATACGTATCCACCTCATAAACTCTCGATACTTGTGAACAACACGCTCAGAGGCCCACATGGCTGTGGTAGTAGCCACTCTCTCAAACAATTCCAAAGCTTCATCAATTGTCTTTGTGGATAAGGAGCCATTGGATGATGAGTCCACCATACTTTTATAAGATGGAAGTAGACCTACATAAAAATATTGGACCTGAAGCCCTTTGCTGATGCCATGATAAGGGCACTTCCGAAGCATATTCTTGAATCTATTCCAAGCTTTATCAAAGGATTCAGTTTCTCCCTGCCGAAATATGGATATGTCATGCTTCAACTTCACAATCTTCGCCGATGGAAAGAATTTGGTGTAGAATTTTTAAGCCAAGTCATTCCAAGTAGTGATACTAGCAATAGGTTGTGAATCTAACCATTCAAGCTCTCTATCCGATAGAGTATGTGGAAATAATCTCAATTTGATTGCATCATCTGAAATCCCTTGATATTTAAAGTGTTGACACATCTCAAAAAATCGAGAGACATGTGTATGTGGATTTTCATCAGACCTGCCATAAAATTGCCAATTGAAGAGTCCAATTCCAGAGCCACTTACATGAAATGCATGGTCATATGTGTAGACAAGATTTGTTGAATAATTTTGACCATCCAATGACAATTAGCTGCCCAATTCTGTGGATATTTTCTCTAAAAAATAAGATTTTGCAATCCACTAGCAGCTGCCGACTTTTCCTCACTGAAGCACTCAATTTTCAGCTCCCCCCTGTCCGGCTCCTCTCCCCAATCTGTAAGTTTATGTTTGTATATACATATATATTACAGTTTTCCCCCAATAGCAGGTAGCCCTTTTTCTCTTCTTTAACAAGAGCCCAATTAGTTGATTTTTATTCCAAATATAAATCCAAAAGTAGGCCCATGTGGTGTTTTCTTCAAAGTCCTCAATTCTCCCATGTAATGCAAATGAGTCATTTTCTTCATTTTCTCCTCAATTTTGATCCTCCATCTTTTATTCTGCGAAATTTTGTCCACAAACTCAATTTAATAGCCAATTGATTATTTTCTTTTCCAATTGCTTCAAAATGGGCCCATAACTAAAAACAAAAGAAAATTAACACAAGTTAGGTAAAAAATTAATAATTTGATAACATAAAAGCTATTTATGTAGTCCGAATAAGTGCACAAAATGCACTTATCAGTATCTTGAAATCTTGGAAGAGTGCAAGGACTAGAGCAAGAAAAGAGTCCACAAAATTCAAAATTGCATTTTTGCACGAGGCGTCACAACTTTCCTCCAATGGTGTTGTAGCGCCATATTTCTGTCTCTACTGTTTCTTTTGGCGCTACGACGCCCGATTTTCTTACTCTTCTTCTTTTCTGCCCTTATTTTGCAACTCTTTTCACCACTTCAGTCAATCTATATCACAACAACAAAATACATGTAAATACATTCTAAAAAAATTTCTCAAGAACAGCTAAATAACAAACTAAAGTGGTATTAAAACAATGAGTGAAATACACTCATCAAGGGCTCGAAGAAAACTCGAGAAAATTTCAAGACGAGTCACAATCATTGCCTCTATATCTTGTCGATGAAGTTCAAGAATGGGAAACTAAGCTTTAGAAGAGCTAGAACCAGCTGTAGGGAAAACCCCTTGAGAATGAGTAATGAAGACAACCCTCGAAGAGAATCTGTCGTATGGGAGACTTCAGAACTAGCTCCGACCTAGCATGATCTTCAGATCGGCTTTTCTTAATCAGCTCATGCTGGTCTTTCTCAACCACAGTGGCGTTTCCTTTTTTTTTTTTTTTTTTTTTTTCCCTAACAAATTGATGCCTTGCACCCTAGCATCTCTTCGTTTCGATCTAAATTGCATAGAGAAATAAATAATTTGGATGCCTTGCACCCTAGCATCTCTTCGTTTCGATCTAAATTGCATAGAGAAATAAATAACTATTAGTAATAATAACACAATTAAATAAAAAGTAGTATGCGTATAAAACCAAAAAGTTGTGATCAATTTCTTCGAAATTAAAGGTTGTTGACGAGCAAAAGTACACTGGAATAGATCCGTTTCAAACAAGGACGGATCCAGGATGAGATCCACGATCAGATTACAAAATTTCAAAACGGGCTACTACGTGAAAAAAAAATTTCACATAAAAAACTGATTTTTTACCCAAAAAATAAAATAAAAAATACCTTAAAAAAAACTCTTGGACCTGAGAGGGGGGGCTACAGCCCAACCCAGCCCAGCCCCCCTATATCCGTCACTGGTTTCAAATAAGCTCGACTCAGAGATGATAGTATTGCAAGACCTCTATGGTTTGGTAGAGCTCAGTCGGTGTCAGCTTTGTTTTTGGTTGCTAAGTGATAGTAGTAAGCTTAAAGGCCAAAAGTACTAGATAAGTAGCTCACGACAAATAACTCACAAGTTAGCAAGTACATCAAGAAAACCGTAAAGAAAACTTACACATCCTATGATTGGGACAACATCCTCTCTTTCGCCCTTAGTAGGATAAAATTGCCATTTCCCAAAAACAAAAAAAAAAAAAAAAACCTCTTCCTTTCATTTTTTTACAAATGACCTAGTGTCCAACAGGAGTGACCCCCAGTCCTAGGCCTAACACTTGCATCGTGCCAGCTAGAGTCTTTTCTATCCTCTTTAAAAGAGTGAAATAAATTGCACTGATCTACAATAAACTCGAGATAGCCCAACCTATGCCATAAGATCAATGTGGCAATCAAAGTTCTCCACCCATTAGGACAAAGCTAGATAGGAGCAATGTCAAGGGGGACAGAAACCTACGAACAGCTCTAGAGATTGGTAATCGAAGCCTGGCACTTAAAATGGCTGAGTTAATTGCTACACATCATTTTAGCTGATCGTTAGCCCAATCAGTAGAGCTAGGAATGGCCATCTCAACTGAACAATGAATGTTGTACTTGGCTCTTCACGTCGCCAACATATCACCAATCACTACCGACCTAAAAGAAGAGAACTTCCACTTCTCACTCGAAGGATTACCCTCATCTTCTCTAAAAATTCAACTCCTCTTCATTGACTCCGTCCCTGGTAGACGCTGGGATTTGCACCACCTCTACACGCCGAACTATATCCCTCGGGTTGACTATGGAAATGGGAATCAGAGTGAATATCTCTTGAACGAGTGGGGGATGGGAAAATAGATTCATCCTCTTGGTTAGCCTAGAATTGTACCCTAGACTCGACCAAAATCATACAGTGGCCGAGGTGAAAGCTAGAGAAAAAGAAAAAGAAAAAGAGGTAAGATTTTTGTAAAATGAGTCCTTGGGAAAACGATGACCTCCCTCAAACAAAGGTAGAAGCTCAAGAAATTTCCCTTATTCTATTGCAAAGAGAACTTGAAAGCTAAAAGTGTAGAAACGAAAGAGAAAATGGCATTTAAAAGGGGAGAATGCCAAATGGAGGGGAAAAAAAAGGGTTCAGATCAAAGGGCTCAAGACTACGTCATTTTGAGGAAAACTTATCAAAGAAGCTAAAGGCGCCATTGGAATTATTGCCTCTCACACCCATTGACACGTCATGTCAAATCACACCCAACACTACAATTGTCTCATCAAACAAAAGAAAACAAAACCATTGAGGACAGTGCGTCATCCTTAATGGGTGCGGACCTTGGGGTAACTCTAGTGGGCCGAACTCCAACCTCATTACAATCAGTAGATCATCTCATTAACAGGTTGGAGGTAATATCTCCGAGACCTGCTCAAGATAGAAGCCGCCATCATTTCTAGAAACACAATGATGCTTGGAAACCGATCATCATTGATGTAACTTTTGCCTTATACAATCGTACCAGGCCATCTGACATCATTAACTTCAGCACTTTCACCTTGACCAATTAATTACAAGTAATGATTAGGTGGTATGCTACCAACAGTATCTGACGGTATAACTGTCGCTCAAACAATAATGACCTGGTAAAGTCGACATCAAACACCAATCAAAATTGGATAAATGGCATTCTTATCAAGGACATTACTATAACTGATTTAGCCTTAGGCAGCAATTTGTTTGATTTGACTTATGAATAGCAATGTAATGGTCCTTTTTCAGGATCAAACTCAATGTACTCTCTCTACATAATTTTAAATTATTCTAATCAATACATAAACTCTTCTCTTTTATTATTTTAGCAACTTTCTTCTTAAAAATTCTTCAATGAAGTTGACGAAATCGGCCTAGTGATTTTATTTTTGACGTGGACAAAATTAAAATGTGATTACCTAATTGAAATCTTATTAAAATATAGTTGCCCAATTGAACAAAAATAAAATTATTAATTAGGCTAGAGTGAAAGTCTATTTATCGTGAATATAATTTATCCATTAGATTGATATCTTATATAGCATGCATGGTTAATCACTCACTTACTCAAGCTAGAGATTTTAAAATACCACTTATGCTATTGAACAAGCATGTCTAGCGAACAATCAATCCTAGCAGTATGATCTGCAGCAAAACGACTCAATCAGATTAAGCCTTATGTCAATCCTCGTCGACCTCGATGACTACACACACATGAAATTGTAGAACACAATTTCACATATGCACGAGTCTAAATCTACTATCTCTAGCCACTATCACTTTTTCAAAAGGGTTGTGCTATGGGGACAAGCCCTCTGTCCAAGCAAATTAACTCTTTTGAAAATGATGATGATGATTATAATAATAATAATCTCTAGCTGGCTCACTCTCCAAGATAAAGATATTTATGAAAACATTACTCTCACCATGCTTTTAGATCATTCTAAATCTACCTCTATGTATGGGGGTGATCAAACGGGAAGATCCGAACTCATTTTTTAGAAATTTAAAGAAATAAGTTCACCAATCATTGACGAGAATGTTTCTACGTCAACTTATCAAAGAATAGTGATACAGGAAAAATAAAGACCAATACAAAATGAACAGAAGCACAAGAAATTGCTGCCAATGTCAATAAATCCGCATAGTAATCACCAATCATATTCGCACGTCTTTGATTCATAATTTCCAGATGATGTGCCATCATTCAAAGGAATCTCCAAGTCACACTCAATCTCGGGTTTCATTTGTTTTGATTTCACAAATTCAAATTTCAGCCTAATCTGCAGATAAAGCTTCACTTCAATTTCATAAATCCCAGAATTCTTGTCTCTGTTATAGTTCGAAATCTCTTCGTTTCCGAGTAAAAGCAGATTCTGTCCTTTGAATTCAGCAGTCAAAGAATCAGTACTCTTATGACCCTGATAAAATGGAGTCAATTCAGTGCTTGCAAATCTTTCTCCTTCATAGAAAGCCCTAGCTTCTATTCGATCATAATAAATGCTAACGTGCTTGTTAGGGTTTTGGATTGTCAAACTGAGCGCCAAATTGTAGTGCAGGGTGTTGTTATCGAGAGTAAATTCAGTGAGGGAGGCGTTAGTGGCGTAGAATTTGACGGCACTGGGGCGGAAAATCAGCCAGCAGATGAAGATAATGAGGCCCAAGATGAACAAAATGGTGAAGATTATTTGGCAGACGCAGGTGCACAAACAGTTGAAAATGAATCCGCAGCAGCAGCTGAAGGGGTTGCAGCCTCTACTGCCATGGTGGTGGTTCGTCTTGGGCAGTGGCGGAGCTGAAGGGACGTAATAGGCTCCATTGAGGTGGGATTGTCTATGATCTCCCATGGCTAAAAGAGAAAAATGTAGTTCAAAGATCGTGTATATATCTTTATATCTATATGTGTGTTTATGTATGTCTGTATATATATATTTTTTGTGGAGGAGGAAAGTGAGAATTGGTAAACACCACGGTGTTGTAGCCGGCCACTGACAGTGGCTTATTAGGGTTGCATGTACGCGGTTGCTTTGTATTTTCCGTCGGAAAAATGGAAATAGGCTAACAATTTTTTGTTAGCATAGTTTTTTTATCTGTCTCTATCTCTAACTAATTTAAAATGTATATAAATTCTAACACAACGGAATTATAGGGTCAAAAGGTTTCCAGAATTTTTAGATGAATTTGACATTAATTATTAAATTTCACTGCGTTTCAATTAAGTAGATTGCTTAATTTGCTATTAATTACAAGTTACAACCATGATTGAAGTACATAAAAATTAAATTTTGAGCAGATTTTGATAAGAGTTAATGAAACATACGGTTAAAAAATTGACAAAATTTGTGAATTCCATAAAAAGTACGATTAAAAATAAATACCAAACAAGGAATAAACGTTTTTCACAATTGGATCACTACTTCCATCATCCATGTGGACTGGCCTGGCTTGTGGGCCAAATAGTTAAGTCCAACACCACCGACATCTATGATTGATCCATCCATGTACAACTAGTCAAGAGCAATATATACTAACTAGTAGTAAGCACGTGCGTTGCACGTCTTATGTATTATGTGAATGATATACGTAATATTTTTCAAGTATTAATATTGTTTTTGAAAGTATTTGAGATAATTAATATTGTTAAACGAAGAACTAAAATTATTAAAATGTGTGTGTGTATGTTTATATATATATATACGGGCGGATTCCTCCTTTTGCTCCTCAGCCTACAGGGTATTAGCAGCCGTTTCTAGCTGTTAGCGAGGTTTTGGGCCGATACGATAATAACTGCGTACTTATGTCATGATGGTAATGCCGGTACGATTGAATATGCATTAGAAAGGTCAATCCCTCCCCTACGACACCAAAAAAATCGGGCCGAGCTTCTAACCGCCCACCCTGCAATGGTGCATGAAAAGGGAGAGGTTTTTGTGCTGGGGCTCTCGGAAGCCCACAGCTACTGCTTTTGAGTGGTATTGGACCAAGGGCGTACCTCTCATCGTGGGGGGTTTTCTAGAATTTGCAAGCGAGAACCCCTTTCTTTATTTTGTGTGTGTGTGTGTGTGTGTGTGTGTGTGTGTGTGTGTGTGTGTGTATAGAGAGAGAGAGAGAGAGAGAGAGAGAGAGAGAGAGAGCTTTTTTATGAAATTATATATATAATGTGAAAATGTTAAATAAATTGAAATATAATATTTTGGTCAAAATAACACTTTCTACACAATATTTTTTTTTCTAAACATCCCACAGGTTTTCTTCTTTTTGTTTTCTATTTTTACCAAGATTTTTATTGTTTGCATTGAAACTTTACAAGAAAGTGTGAATAGTTGTCCATGGTAGAAAACATGTTCAGGAAGGTATATTCCAACAGTAGGCACTGTTTGTTCTTGAGCGTTGTGGTTATCGCAAAGAATAGAGTATTGAAAATTATTTCCTTTTTGATTTGAACAAATATCTTTCATCATTTGCAGGAGTTAATGGGATGTGCAGTAGAAAAATTTATTTTTCAACATGTTGTCCAACGCTATATCTGCATGAATAATATGTCTTTTGAAATCACGACAAATCATTCGTGTTCTATTGCAAAAATCATTGCATGGGTCCAGATTCCTTTAGAGCATCATCGGATAATTTCTTTACAATATTAACTTATGTGGTGGAATACCATTTGACAACAATGCATTTAGAAACTCCTCTTGGTAAAATTGGTTTTTATCATCTATTTCTTCATCAAAGGTGATAAATTCTTCACTTTCTCCAAAAAATAACACAATTAGTTGGTATTGAGGTAATCAACATACTCATTTTTTATTGAAATAATTCCACGTTGTGTCATATAATCAAAAGAAGCTACATTTTCTGTTAAATTTGGGAGCACTGCATTGATTTAGTTTTGTTGATTCCAAATAACGTTATGAAAATTCTTTATACAAAAGATTTCTTGTTGCAGCATATGTTTTACACATTTCAAAATATCTCGTCAACATTGTTCTTGCTATATGATCTGAATGAAAAACTTGGTCTAAGTTCTATTGATTCGAATGTGAAAAAGATTGTTCGTTAGGAAAGCGACGTTGTAGGTTTATTATTGGTGGAAACATCTCATTCAATTGAAATTTATATTTTTTCCATAAAGCGTCTTGTGTAGACATCCATCTTGTATCTTGAAATTCTTATGTTTCATTTATGATGTTAGCATCATCATTCCGTGAAAGATGGACAGCTGATATATTATGACCTTTGTGGATATATTTATATAAATACTTAAATATCTTTAGTCCAAAGCATATTTCAACATTAATATGATAGTTACATCGTGACAGTAGATATGGATTGCGAAGAACTTCCCACTAGTTATTCAAAATGAAATTTCTTACTTGCACCAGTAATTTTAAACGTTAATGAAAAAGGAAATTTACTGTGATTACAGTTACAAGGTTAGATAATATAACGCAAATACTATTGAATTGCACCTTAGTGACATCGTTCTTTCTTTTGTATATTGAATATGCATATATTTCTCCAATGGTCTTTGAACTAAAAGGCCTTGGATAATGAAATCTATAAACTCCATTCACCATGCAAAGGCTCTTACTGTTGTATTTTTCACATGGTCCACGTAGCATATGTTTCTTGATTGCCTCATGAAGAGCAGGATCAGTATATTTATCATTCTGCATGAACATACTTCTTATAGTGGTTAGTACTTGGGATCTTGTTATCACTTTACAGTATTATCAACATGGGCATATGTTGTAGACCTCTTTTTTGAAACTCAACGACTTATACATAAGCAGCAATCTAACCAAATATTTCTTTCTTTTTTTTTTTTTTTTTTTTTTTTTTAACACTAGTTTTTCAAGTTCATTAGTTTTCCTCTAAAGATTCTTGATGTTAAATCTGGCCTGTCTTGGGGATGTTGGCTTCTTTAGTCCTTTTTTTATTTCATTCCATTCTGCATTGCCTATTATTGTCATAAAAATGCCATATTTACCAAGTCTTGGCACAACGAGAACGCACATCCCTAGGTCCTCCAATGAATAAAAATGAAAGAACTACTCTTTTCCCAACTATATCTCATATTGTCTTTCTTGTATTCACTATATTGACAATTTCTTGATGTAGCTCTGATCTAATTTGTGATTTGTGTTTTCTGAAAAAAGTTAAGCCTTACTGTTTCGTTCTCTATGTAGTAGTTTTCCAGCTAAGAATAGCATTGGTTTGGCATTAACACTTATTTGTAACTTGTAACAATAGTATTCACAGCAAAAAAAGTGTTGTAGAATACCAAGGCTCCTCAAATTTTGTAGACTATGAATTCAAAGCTAATTATCCAATATAATAAAATTCATCGATGGGTGGTCGTGCTCTACAAAAAATATGTTCAATTCATAGTTGAGAATTGAGAGTAGAGAGCTTTTACATAAATTTTCTCACTTTATTTCCCTGCTTTGTTCTAAAACTCTCATCAAAAAGTATTAATTCAAAGAAAAATTTTCACCTTCCTAATTTCTAGTTTTGTAATTTAATATATTATGGAATGATTTATGAAGGTGCAACTTTTGCCATTCATTTCATAAAACCAATCAAACTTGTAAAGAAAATAACAAACAATCAACGGCATCATTAACAGTGGCAGATTCGGGATTGGATGTTAGCTAGGGGGCCATTGACCTTTGATCATTGACCGTCGACAGTCAACGAGCATAATAGCAATGTCTCTTCTACAATATTATTTCTAAGGAGTTTATGAATTTCTTGCCTAATCCAATTTCATACCTTACTGCCTAACATTAAATACTTCATAAATATAACATTAAAAATATCATTTTCAGCATATGCAATTTTAAAATCGTATTAAATGCCACAGAAATTCACTTTGTAAAATGGAGTCTACACTTTGTTCCATTTCTTGACACGAGATAATCCAACCAATATTTATTTTTGCAGTTTATTTTCTCATTTTAAGCAACCATAACATCTTTAGTTAGGGTCTTTGTGGCTTCTGTTGAGCAGAATTCCCAGAAAAAAAAAAAAAAACAAAACAACATGACTGTTGGTATTTTATAGTGCGAACTCACTCAAGTTTAAAACTCAATTGCCCTTGAAATTGCATTGTATAAAAAAGTGCAACTCACTTTATCAAGTTCCAAATGTTGATCTCTCTAAGTTGCCTTGAGGAGGAAAATCCATTATGTATTAGGCCATATAAAAATGACACACCTTACAAAAACCAACAAATTTAGAGCTTGTTTGGGAGTGATTTTGAGAAGTGATTTTTTGACCGTTAGGAGAAAAGTGAGATCCACCTGTGAGAGAGGAAGTCAAATATAACAATTGGAATAGTGAAATAACAGTCAAAAAATTAATTTTTTGAGCCAAAAAAATCACTCCCAAACAGGCTGTTAATAGATGAAACAACTCAAGCATTAGTCACTGAGGGTAACAGTTATCTTCAATGGCGTAAAAAATATTGTATATTAATATAGATAATAAACCTTAACTTACACTATAAACAATTGACCAGAAGATTAATAAGATAATTCACAAATTCCTCAATTTATCATTTATCACAAATTCGCAAATTCATATAGTAATTTGCAGCTATTGAATTCATCTCCAAGCCATTGAAACCCTAGATTTTGTGTTCTTCTCAGCATCTGCTAAATGCTATTACTTTTTTGTCCTAATTTTATGATAGATTCAATTAAATAATTTATTCAATCTCAAGCTTTATCAATTGTTCCAATCTGGCCAAGACCCTACAATCTTTGATGGTAGCCCTAAACATAAATTTCCAACTATCATTTTCAAATTTCCACCCAAATCTACCCCCTTCAACTCGAAATGGTGATAATTCGTTCATCTCAGCTAAAGCATTCCACATAAAAAGTTGCACAGTAATTAAAAAAATACTTATCGACAGTGGCGGTGTACATCCGTCGGACCTACGGCTGCAAGAGTATGAGATAGCGGGAGTCAGGAATGTAGTTTAGATATAGGGTTTGGAATTGGGTCTTTGGCATATGTGGCTGTGAAATCAAAAAATGTCATGTAATGCCTATATTTTGTTGAGGGAAAATTTCACATACAAGAGATTAAGTATAGGGCATTTCAAAAATAAGAAAATAAGTATCATATTTCAAAAATCAGAAATTAGCCTAAAAATAAATATAAATATTAATATAATTTGATATAGAAAATAATCCCGAACAAAGAGGCTGAGATACCATAATATCAGGATTCTCCTAAAAAAGAATAATTCATCTTTCAATCTGATTCCAATAGCCAGAAGATTTGAAAATACATCCAATTACGGCCGGCTCTTGTGGAAGTGACGGTGAAACCGAATTTTGGTCACAAATTGCAGTCGCGGTTCGTATGAGGTCGGATTAAAACACGTTGTCTCGAACAGTCACTGATTACATTATTCAGGCGTGTAATTAAATTGATCAGGTGTGTAATTGCGATTTATTCATTATAATTTGTCGTTTATTCACGCTAGACAAGCTTCGAATGATCAAAAATGTGATTTTTGATAGAACTGTGATCATGAATATCGGACATTGCTGTTCGAAACTGTTGTGACCGTTATGGAAAACATATGACCCTAGATACAAGATATAACCTCATGCATTCAGTATGCATGGGTGTTTGTGTTTCGAAATGTGTGACGTGTTTGAATCTGTGTTTTATGATACTGATGCTCTTGTTTGAATCTAATCATATGCGATAGATCTAATTGTGACCGATTATTGCATATAATTATGACACATTGAATACATGTGACCTGCATATATTCAATGTGTGACCATGACATTCAAGATACGACATGCGTTTGCTTTGACCTGTGATCATTTAACAGAATTGTGACCGACATGCAATTAATTGTGACCAATATACAAAGACTTGAATGTCACACGTGACCTATGCAATGATCTGTGACCTCTTGTAAAAAAATCTGGGAAATAAAACTATGTGACCTGCATGTATTCAACACGTG